TTGCTACAACTTTAAAAGCACAACTATAATGACGTGGGAAAATACCCGAACAAAGCTGAATACCATACATATACATACATACATACATACATACATACATACATACATACATACATACATACAAAACTCGAAACTTAGAATATCGTGCAAAAGTTCATTTATTTCAGTAATGCAACTTAAAAGGTGAAACTAATATATGAGATAGATTCATTACATGCAAAGCAAGATAGGTCAAGCTGTGATTTCTCATAATTGCGATGATTATGGCTTACAGCTCATGAAAACCCCAAATCCACAATCTCAGAAAATTAGAATATTGTGAAAAGGTTCAATATTCTAGGCTCAAAGTGTCCCGCTCTAATCAGCTAATTAAGCCATAACACCTGCAAAGGGTTCCTGAGCCTTTAAATGGTCTCTCAGTCTGGTTCAGTAGGAATCACAATCATGGGAAAAGCTGCTGACCTGACAGTTGTGCAGAAAACCATCATTGACATCCTCCATGAGGAGGGAAAGCCTCAAAAGGTCATTGCAAAAGAAGTTGGATGTTCCCAAAGTGCTGTATCAAAGCACATCAATAGAAAGTTGTGTGGAAGGGAAAAGTGTGGAAGAAAAAGGTGCACAAGTAGCAGGGATGACGCAGCCTGGAGAGGATTGTCAGGAAAAGGCTATTCAAAAGTGTTGGGGACTTTCACAAGGAGTGGACTGAGGCTGGAGTCAGTGCATCCAGAGCCACCACACACAGACAGATCCTGGACATGGACTTAAATGTCGTATTCCTCTTGTCAAGCCACTCCTGAACCACAAACAACGTCAGAAGCGTCTTACCTGGGCTAAAGAAAAACAGAACTGGTCTGTTGCTCAGTGGTCCAAAGTCCTCTTTTCTGATGAGCGCAACTTTTGCAACTCATTTGGAAACCAAGGACCCAGAGTCTGGAGGAAGAACGGAGAGGCACACACTGCAAGATGCTTGAAGTCCAGTGTGAAGTTTCCATAGTCTTTGTTGATTTGGGGAGCCATGTCATCTGCTGGTGTTGGTCCACTGTGCTTCATTAAGTCCAGGGTCAACACAGCCGTCTACCAGGAGATTTTGGAGTACTTCATGCTTCCTTCCGCAGACAAACTTTATGGGGATGCTGACTTCATTTTCCAGCATGACTTGGCACCTGCCCATACTGCCAAAAGCACCAAATCCTGGTTCAATGACCGTGGGATTACTGTGCTTGATTGGCCAGCAAACTCTCCTGACCTGAATCCCATAGAGAATCTATGGGGCATTGCCAAGAGAAAGATGATAGACATGAGACCGAACAATGCAGAAGAGCTGAAGGCCACTATTGAAGCATCCTGGTCTTCCATAACATCTCAGCAGTGCCACGGGCTGATAGCTTCCATTCCACGCTGCATTGAGGCAGTAATTGCTGCAAAAGGGGCAGCTTATACTTTTCAGAGGTCTGATATTGTTCTACGTACAATCCTTGTTTTATTGATTGCATGTAATATTCTAATTTTCTGAGATTGTGGATTTGGGGTTTTCATGAGCTGTAAGCCATAATCATCGCAATTATGACAAATCACGGCTTGAACTATCTTGCTTTGCATGTAATGAGTCTATCTCATATCTGAGTTTCACCTTTTAAGTTGCATTACTGAAATAAATGAACTTTTGCACAATATTCTAATTTTTCGAGTTTCATCTGTAAAATCTTCTATGTTCATATATTTAATTTCTAATTTCCATTTTTCTTTTCCAACCATTGATAAAATAATTCCCATATCATATAATATTCAGATTGTTCTTTTCCTTTAATTGCCAGTGTTAATCTATTCATTTCTGCACATTCTAATATTTTCCTAATCACATTGTCCTCGGTCAGAATCTTTTCACTTTTCCAGTTTTGAGCAAATACTATACTAGCTGCAGTTAATACATGAATAATTAGATATGTCTTTTCTTTACTATAACTTTCAGGTATCATCCCTAACAAAAATATTTCAGGGTTTAGGTCTATATGTTGTTTTATCATATTTTCCAACCACATGTGCATGACCACATGTGCTAATATGTTCCGAGTTTCTGGTGACATTTTCAACATTTAGCTGATTTATCTTTAAATATCTTTGCCAGTCTTGCCGGCACAAAAAGCCACCGGTAAAAATCTTATATAAATTTTCTTTATATACTGTTGACATTGTTAATTTATAATTTCTATCCCATAGTTTCTGCCATTTATCGAATTCTGTCGCATAAGCAAAAATTTTTGTCCATGCTATCATCGTCTCTTTCATTTACTCTGCTTCCAATTTAACACCCAATAAGTAGTTATACAGTTTTTTATCAGTTTTTCTTCTGTTCCTGTTAATATTTATCCAATTCTGTCAGTTCTTTATAAAAACCCTCTGCTTTCGCATCTTTTTCATATCTAGAATATATTTACATATATGAATACCAAATCATATCAAACTCTTGTTCATTTAATTCTTGCTTCGTTTTGAGCTCACCGTTTTCATTCAAAATATCCTTGTATCTAACAATGCTTCGGGATTTGCAACTCCTTCTCTCAAGAGCAAATTCTGTTCTAAAGTAAATGTGGATCAAGAAATAAATAAAATTCAGATTGCAGTCTAAATGCCAGGATTAGCAAGTGCTTTTTTTCCACTAAATAATCTAAAATCTAGATTTTAGATTCAAGAGTTTTACATCCAGTAGAAAAGTTTTACTTTATGATACTGCTGGATTCTATATGAATAACAGTTAAAAGTTAATTAATTGTGGTTATTTTATTCCCAGGGCAATCGCACAAACTCATTTGATTTTAGGGCATAATGGTATTCCATACATAAAGAATGAAAACCAGTTTGATGCAGTGGCTAGGGTACCAAGTTATAAACTAGGAGATGTCAGATCCTGGCTTAGAAATGAAACCAAATGGGTCACTTTGGGTCAATCATTCTCTTTTAGATCCAAGAAGGAGGCAAGGATAAACAAAACTTTACTAAGGAGGAAGGAGTGTTGTGTTGTTCAATTCATAAAAATAATAAAGGCATTATAAAAAAAAATCCTATAGGGACATAGTCCAGGCAGTCATAAGAAGTCTTGAAGGTGCGCACGCACGCACACATACACACGCACGCACACACACAGAGGGAGAGAGGGAGAGGGAGAGAGAAATGTAGTGTTGGACCAAGCAGGAATATTTTGCATATATTCTCATTCTACCTCTTGGAAAAAGAACTGAATGTATATGATACATCATGTTTGTATTCCTTCCAATACATTTGGCTGTTACACTGTTCAATTTATATCAGGCAATATATGGAATATTGTCATTTGCCTTCTTCCAGGTCTCAGTTCATCCCCACTCATACTAGGCATGTCAATCTGTGCCTTGAAAGCTGATCCTGGTCCCTGCAAAGCCCTGCACACCCGCTATCATTTCGACATCCATACTCGTCGCTGTGAACTTTTCAACTATGGTGGATGTCAAGGCAATGAAAACAACTTTTTAACCCTAGACGAATGTCAAGAAACCTGTATCGTAAAAGGTCAGTATATTCCTTGCTACAATTCTTCCTTTTTCTAAAGAAACACTTTTTTAAAGTCTCAGACGAAAGCCAGTTCTTTGGACATCTTATCAGATTGTCATATTATGTACCTGCAGAATTTATACAAATATATACATGATCTGGAGGGAAGTATTTGAGATTAAGTGTAGAATTTTAACAAAGTGAGAAAGTTTTTACATTCCTCATTTAGTAATGTGTTGCATATATGCATGCAGATATATAATATATGCATGTGGTTTAAAAATGTATGTTCCTTCATTGAAAAGGAAGCATAGCCATTTTATTTTTCTTCTACTGTGTGGTGCCTTTAAAACGGATTATCGTCCTCAGGGCAAGAGTATTTAACCAATAGAATGGAATGGAATGGAATATATATATATATTCTTAAGTTTTTGCGGGTATTTATATGTATGGTATTCAGCTTTGTTCGGGTATTTTCCCACGTCATTATAGTTGTGCTTTTAAAGTTGTAGCAACGTTTTGGCAGAATCTCATCTGCCATCATCAGGTTTCTGTATAGTGTTCATCATCATCATCAGGCTTCACGACGAACACTATACATAAACCTGATGATGGCAGTTGAGATTCTGCCAAAATGTTGCTACAACTTTAAAAGCACAACTATAATGACGTGGGAAAATACCCAAACAAAGCTGAATAATATATCTATATCTATATCTATATCTATATCTATATCTATATCTATATCTATATCTATATCTATATCTATATCTATATCTATATCTATCTATCTATCTATCTATCTATCTATCTATCTATCTATCTATCTATCTATCTCACACGCAGGTCACACACTCCCAACTCAGCGAAATGGGGAAAACCGTCATGATACGTTACATGACAACAACATGACACCACAAGTTTGACATCCATGGTCTAGGTGTTGTTATAGAAAAAAGTATTTCCCTCAAGTAGTAGATTCAAGAATAGTTACCACTACAGTATATTATTTTCAGATTGTATTTTTGAGATTAAGTTTTAAAAAGCAGAAATACAAAGCAGGCAAGGATAATGTCATTTTTTAAAAAGCTGGATATTGCTTTTTGCTTGTATTGGAGGCTTCATATCTGTTCCGGGGTAGTGTTAGGAACAACCTTGCAACAAATTAGATCGTTGATCCAACTCGCTCTATTCTTGTAGTTCCCCAAAGTGTCAGTGATTTCAGCCATCCCTGGAGACATCACAAATTAAATTTGGTGCCATGTCCATGTGAAGCAATCTTGCACACCTGAATCTTAGAATTAAAACTAAATCAAAGATAGATATAAAACTTTGAAAACATATTTTGAATAGTAAGTTCCATGTCTCATTTTCAGGAGGCAAAATGAACATTAAAATGAACAGTCCTACGTATCCATCAATCTACCCGCTATTTCAAAATATGTAAATTTGATGTTCTGGGCAATTTCCATGTTTTAAACTTCAATCAGTATTAACACTATATATATAAAACAATTGTTATCCAGGTTTAGTAATACATATTTCAGAGATATTGCAAGTTTTGTTCCAGACTACCATAATAAAGCAAATATTGCAATAAAGTAAATCACACAAATGTTTTGGTTTCCCAGTCTGTATAAATGTGATGTTTACACTGTATCGTGGTCTGTTAAGTGTGCAATAGTATGTCTAAAAATGAAAACCAATATATATACTTTAATTAAAAATACTTTATTGCTAAAAAATGCTAATCATCTGAGCCATCAGCGAGTCATAATCTGTTTGCTGATGGAGGGTCTTGTAAAAAAACTCGCACTAAGTGTGAAGTGTAATAAATAAAACAGGTTATGCCTGTATATACTAAAAGTCCAAGTGGGAAATATATCTTATAACCAAGAAGTTAATTCAGCAGGGATTTAGTTATCCCAGAGTTTCCAGCAAAGTACTATCAAATAGCTGGCTGGTTAAGAAAATCCCATGCTGCAACTTTTAATAAATCTTCCTGCCAGAAAAAACAATCTTACTTAACTCAGTCAAGGCAAGAGAAAAGCTCTGCAGTGGGCAAGCATAATAAACATCATGAATTTATATGCTGACCTGGAGAAACTAAACCAGTCAGGGCCCCAGGTGCATGTTTAAGGGTGCACAAATGCAGTGTAAGGAGAAGTGTTCAACTTTAATTAAAACATAACAAAAGTCAGATGAGGAAATAAGATCCCAGTCTCCAAGGGAAAAAGGTGTAAGTCAGATCCCTCAGCCTTAATCTCCAAGAAAATTCAAAGTTCTCTTAAGATGAGAAGGAAGGTTACATCATCATGCAGGCAGGGAAGGTATGTTATAGACCCTTTCATTCTTTAAATGAATGAAAAGGGTCTAGGAAAAGGGCCTCCCCTGTATTTCCCCCATCTTCTGGAATATTCTCCCTTCAGGTGGCCCATCACGCTCCTGGCCTTTTGAAGGAGTTTGAAGACCTGCCCATGCCAACTCAAATGGGGCTCACTGAGCAACACGCAACCCTAGCAGTGGTTGGCACCTTGAAGTCTCCTCCCTCCCCATATACATACCCATCTTTTAACTTCTAACTTATTTTATTCTTGTTTTTATCTGAATCTTCTTATTGATGCACTGTATTTTTATATGGCTTTTATGCTTTTAACCGTATACCGCCCAGAGTCACTCTGGAAGATGGGCAGTACCTAAATTTGACAGATAATAAATGAATACCCATGGAAAACAAAACAGCATGGAGTCCCACTGAATTTGGAACTGAAAAAGATGTCATAGTTACATTTTCTGATGCCTCTGAAAAAAATGTGTGTCCATATATTTATAATGTCAATTTATAATGACATGTAAGATTTGTAAAAAAAATTATGCTTATAAGATGTTTATATGTTCTTCAGCATGTATAACTTGTAACATCTCTCAGTTTGATTACCTGAACCCTAGGAATTGCCTATTGCTTGTCTAGTTGCTGAAATTAGTTTAGATGCTTTGGGTATATTTCTTACAATCAGATTTTATCGTTTTCAGCAGAGTTTATTGGTACTATCTCTCAATTATTTCAGCCTGTCCAACCAGATTGGACTAAGTTGACATATTACAAGTGCCATCTATTAAAGAGTTTTATTTTATAGAACCCAGGAACTCTGGCTGTTGTTGTCCTGTAGAACAGCATTCTCATCCCCACCCCCAATAACTGGGATTCAGATGGCCCTGACTCTCCTGGGCTTTAGACCTAGTTCTTCTTCCTGGTGCTGGGCCAGGACTTTGCACAAGCTATTGATATGTGATTTGTGAGTTATTGTCCCCAACACTATATGTGTGTCTTTCTTGATTTTTATTCTGATTTTTTAATTCTGGATACTTTAATTCAGTATGTTAAAGTATATGAGCTGCCAAGTGTCAACTTGCACTGCGAGATAAGTAATGTATATATTTGATAAATACATAAAATTAATGTATTCAGAGGAACACATGCATAGTCCCACAATGACACTAATGGCTTAGCAGCTTCACTTCTGATATTTCTGAAAGACAAGGGGTTCTGTATAGATGCAGCAATGACAAAGTAAATCTACATTTTTGAAAATAACTGTGATGTGCAAATTTTGAGAAGCAAAAGAAAAAACTGAAAACCAACCTCGACAGGATGTTTTTATTCAAAACAAGTCATCATCATCGTCAATCATCAATCATCATCTATATCTCTAAAACCACACACACACATACACACACCTACATACTATATTCATATATATCATATCAATCTATATTAGAGAGAGAAAAAAATATGCCGATATGAGGACTTTTACTGTTACATTTCTAGATCTAGTTTAAAATTACTTTTTCCATTACAGATGTGCCAGAGAAGACAAAGAAATTAAGACTTAAGAATGGTAACGTACTGTTTCATTGTGTTTTGTTATCTCTCAGTATTAAGAAATAATTTCCTAACAGTAATATGGCTGGGTTGAGTTACTATATAGATTTTACTCAAATGTCTCAACTTCTTACTAGCTTATAAGATTGTTGTACTTATCATAGCAAACAATAACTATAATGATTTTTTTGTGTTTCTTTCATCTATAAGAAGGAGAGAATGAGATCACATTTATTTATGGTATTTGATTTTCATTTTGGAGGGCTTCATATTAACAGTACAATATAATACAATAATTTTTAACTTACAATGTACAATGTAATATAATTGTATCACAATCAAGTTTGTATTGTAAAATGAATAATGAATGAGAAATGAACATTGCCAAGATAAATTATTAGTGTTTATATCACATCAACTCCATTATCCTTAGTTAATGAGGTTTTAAGTGGCTATCTTCTTTGCCTTACACATGAATATCTTGATTGTAAAATGCCATTATCTTGAAACCCATTGAAGCCAATCAAAGCAATAGGAAAGCAGTAGCATGAGAATTAGAATCAATATGTTGCAAGACAGAGATTCTTTTTTAATTTTTTTTATTATTCAGAAGGATATTTTTACCCATAAGAATCCACAGTTTTGGAAGAATTGCATTTAAGTTGATTTCATTTCAGACATTAATTTCTGGATCAAACACTGACAGAGGACAGTGCTAGCTATTCTTTTTTAGGAGATATAGGGATGAAGAAGAAAGACCTCTGAATGCCACTAACAATAAGTTTGGTTCATCCAGAAATAGACTAATTTCTTCCCATATTACCAAAATTTGGCCCCAGGTTTAAAGTTTGAGATTAAAATGAAATGATGCAGAGCATTTCACTGTAATTAGATTAACATAGATATAGTGCTCAAATTGTTGGATTAAAAGTGGGAGAACCAAGTTCATATCTATCCCCAGTTTTTTTATTAAATTCATATGCCATCCATCTTATTGTCAAACAACTGTGGGTGGGTTAAAACATCATAAAACAACAATATAAAACAATTAGGATGTTAAAAACTTACAAGAGATTACTAGGTAATTTTGGGCCAATTATTCTCTTAGCCCAACCTGATTCACTGCACTGTTGTTAGTATGAAAAGTAGAAGAAAGGAGTGGTGTGTAGTTATGCCACCTAGAGCTCCTGAAGTAAAAGCGGGACATATTTTTTTAAATATCAGAATGAGAAGTCGGATATTTAATTGACAAATTTGGCCGAGTTATCATTATGCAATCTTTTGGACCAAGATTTTCAAACTATTGTCCGTTTTCCACCTGCATTAGAAGTTGTAGCAGCTGTTCTTACTTTCAGCATTGTGGTAAGATCATTTTTGTAGCATATATTTGAAGACTGCATAAATATAACTCAGTTTAAGCCTGACAACTGAGTATAAGGAGGAAAGAAAAAAGATACAAATCTCATATTTTTGTTAGAGACATTTTCTATCGTAGCATAGCTTTTTGAAAAATTGAGGCCATCTGGACTCTGAAATTAAATATTAAATATTATAGCAGCATAAAAAGTTTACCACTCTCTTGAGGGCTATTGCCTTAATTGTGGCTGAAAATATCAGAATAAACCCAGGCTTTTAAAAGTCAGCACATTCCATCTCAGGTATGGCTATCATGGAAACTGAATCAGCCATATTATTTGCAAACCAAAGCAGAGTATATAGCAAGTCCCTAGACAAGTACTATGGATGATAGTGCGATTACATTATGTTTCACATTCTGGATATACAAAAATCTTCCACCTATAAAACTAGAGTATTGAAGGATGTCCTAAATCTTTCCTCCTGAAGTCAACGGGACTGAGTAGCATTTTACTTTAGTTTGAACTGAATGATTTTTTCATGAGGTTAAGAGAGAATAAGAACAGTGGAAAGAAATGACATTATTTTCCTCCCTGAAACAATCCTAATTCACAGAAAAACCTTCCTTCTGCCTTTTGGAAAATGACCCTGGTATTTGCCGAGGATTACTTTCCAGGTATTTCTACAACAAAGAGTCACAGCAGTGTGAAAAATTCCAATATGGAGGTTGCCTGGGAAACCAAAACAACTTTAAATCTTTGCAAGAATGCCAAAATACCTGCCATGACAGGGGTAAGTGGAGCCATTACTTAGTACCTAACTGCATCTATTATTGTCTGTTGGTGTAAAGCAGGAATAGAGAGTTTCTGTCCTTCCAAATCTTTATTAGAAAGTAACTTTTATTGGCTGAAATACCAATGGCTGATAGAACTTGGAATTAATAGAATTCAAAGCATGTGGGAACGATAGCGTGTCTGCTGAGTTGCAACAGAAATTTGTTCATGTTCAGTTTAAAGGTTGCATGTATGGGCGGTTGATAGCATGTGCTTTCATGATTGGGGAGAAAAAGCAAAAATGATAAGGAGTCCTGAAGTATTCACTGAAAGAACTACATAATGAGTTAGATGAGCTTTGTGGCGCAGTGGTAAGAGTGCAGTACTGCAAGCTACTTCTGCAGCCAGCTGCCTACAATTTGACAGTTCAAATCCCACCATGCTCAAGGTTGACTCAGCCTTCCATCTTTCTGAGGTGGGTAAAATGAGGACCCAAATTGCTGGGGGCAATATGCTGACTCTGTAAACCGCTTAGAGAGGGCTGTAAAGCACTATAAAGCGGTATATAAGTCTAAGGGCTGTTGCTATAAACAATGCATTAACAAGTTAGTATGAGGTAGAACAGAAGGTGGAGAATAAACTCCTTTTTCAGTTTAATGTAAACAAATGTATATGAAGTGAAAACTGTTCCTTATGTTTAACTAAGTTCAAATGAAAAGAGGATTTCAGGAAACTACAGCCTTGGGGTAGTAAATAGATGTTAATGACTGTTTTCTCTGTCTTAATATATCATTTTGATCAGACTTTTTTTTTATTTCAGTCCCCTCAGCCAATTCCCTAAAAATAGATGATGACCACTTGGTTTTTAGTACTATTAGTAATAATAGTGCTCCACTTATAAAGCAAGGTATGTATTAATAGTTTATGCCTGAGTAAGAATCGGGTTCACTCTACTGTTCTCATCTGAATTTTTCCCTGTCATGTTTTTACTTTGCTTCTCATGATTCTGAAGGGCATTCAGTTTAATAACTAATGGGGGTTTCTCTAAAACTTGGTGATCGATTCCTCCATTTTTTTAAATTTCCTCTTTATTCCATCATCTGTATACTTGCTTTTTAAAAAATCAGGTGTTTTTGCCCTCCCTCCATGGAAAAGCTGCTACTCTGTGCATTTTATTGTTCTTCTAAAACCGTGATGGCAAACCTATGGCACGCGTGCCACAGGTGGCATGCAGAGCCATTTGTGCGGGCTGGTGAGCCCCAGCCAAACTTACCTGCACTGCACATGCGCGCACCTCTCAGCTGATTTTCGGCCCTTTTGAGGCCTTTTTCGGCCTCCCAGAGGCTCATGGATGTGTCCAGGGAAGCCAAAACAAAAATATAGACTATAAAATCCTCAATAAATTAAACCAGAGTTTCATTTAAGTTCTGTTTCTAATTGTTACCTAACTATTCTGCATACCTCCTAGAGTCTTGAGACTGGGATATATAAATATCAGGAAAGAAATAATAAATACTAATATTTCTGAGGTAATTAATTGTTAGTGGCAGAAATAAATCCCTTTTGTTGTTTTTGCTCATTTTTTCTTTCCTGATTTTTTTTTTTTTTGTCTGAAAACTTTCTTTGAAAGATTTGTTGCCATTGTTTTCCATGAGCATATGCCATACTGGAGATTGAGGCTTCTCACTTTTATGATCCACAGTTGTACATCAGGGAGAAAGGAACAGCTGGAAAAAAACTGATCACGGTTGCTATATTTTTCTGCTGGCCATCTGCACTTTCATTCAGATGTGCTTCTGGGAACTGACCGGTAGTTTGTGGATTATGCATGCTGGCTAGAAATCTGGAGTGCATGTAAGAGAAGTCCAGGGAGATCTTCTTAATGAACTTTGGGACTGCCCATGATGGGAAAGTGCTGTGCGGTCTTTCTACATCCTGTCTTCGTTCATCACAGGACATAGAGCCTTGCTTGGTCTATAATCATCTAATCCAGTAATGGGATGGAGTGAAGGCATTCTTGTGTCAGCCAAAATCCAATCAGGATGAAGGGTGGTACAGAAATGTTCTGAGTAGATAAATAAATAAAGCATTAAAACTGTTTCGAGAGTAATTGACAATACTGTTTTGTTGTTGTTTTGCTTAGTCTTGGTGTTGGCCCTGATTGAGCAGTTAAATACATCTCACATCTTTATGTTGATTCTTCCCCCTTGCTTTGGCAAGGACCTGCTGTTGAATTTGGAGAACCCACTCAAAACTTAAACCTGTCCAATCAGAAGTACATATTGGTGGGAAATCATGGTATCTTAGAAGTTCTTAATTCTAGTTCTTAGAACTTAGAAGCACTATCTTCTAAGAATATCTTGACACTTCTATGGAGGAACAGTCTAACACAGGGGTGTCCAAACTTGGCAACTTTAAGATTTGTGGACTTCAACTCCCAAAATTCCTCAGCCAGCTTTGCTGGCTGAGGAATTCTGAGAGTTGAAGTCCACAAGTCTTAAAGTTGCCAAGGTTGGACACCCCTGGTCTAACAGAATCACAAAATCCTGGTGAGGTAGTCTTCAAGTCATAACTGTAACGCAGCCTGCCCATTACAGTCAGAAATCATGATGCTCATTAAGTGAAGTACCCACGTGATCATCCCTGCTCTTCCCAATGTGGTTGTTAAATGAACGTGTGGATCATTAAGCAAAGCATGGGGTGGCTTGGGCCCTTGGAGGAGACTCTGGCTCAGGCCTTCCAAAGCCTTCCCCACCCTTAAGGCATCCCATGTTCCACTTCCTGCTCCTCAGAGACCCCACAAACCTTGGGCCTGCTTTCCATCCCACTGGGCCCAATACCCTTTTCCTTATCTCATGTCATCCACTACGCACCTACCTTTTGAAGAGCTCTATAGTTTGGAAGCAAAGCAAGCTGTTTTG